ATCTTTATAAAAATTTTAAATGATTTATATTTTGAAATAAAAAAACAGTTAAATCAGTGAAAATAAATTATATATCCAATCAAATTTCCTGCAATATAAAAACTCATAAATTTGGAATCACTGCTGTTACCGGAATACCATCCAGCTTGAACATTTAAAAAAAAAAAAACCAAAAGAAAAGAAAACCCGTATATATATTTTATTATGTCATTAAATAGGTGATAGGCTATTGGATGGCGTAAGCTAAACAAAGATAACAGACATGACCAGTGCATCTCAATCAAAGGCATTAGAGACTAGAGAGTCTATATCAGCTCTGAAAGTGCAGAGTATTTTTGTTGAAGGCAACTTTTTATTCTAATTGAAGTTTTTGGTTTGGACAAATTAAATTATGAGAAATGGGAAAGATGCAGCTTTAATTGATCTCAACGCGCTTCCCTTGCTTTAAAAGTTTCTTGCTAGGAAATTAATTACTTTGCGTTCCTTAATCTGTAGCTCTTTTTTTTTTTTTTTTTTTTTTTTTTTTTTTTTTTTTTTTTTTTTTTTTTTTTTTTTTTTTTTTTTTTTTTTTTTTTTTATCATTGGAATAGTGTCCAGCCCTTAAAACTGATCGGGGGACATGTGTAATTCTACTCTCTACCTGGAGTCCATATAAATTGGGCAAATTTTCAATACACATGTTATGATATATGAGCATTGACGTTAAGCTCAAATATGGATTAATTAACTGCTTGTACGCTCCTAAGAATCGAACATAAAATGACGAGAAATTTATCCAGCATGGTTTCCCTTAGACTAACCCCATGCTTCCCTTAGACTAACCCTTTGGGGATAATCTTACAATTAACATCCTAAATCCAGCTAGTTTCTTGTTAGGACATTATTTAATTTATAATAAATAATTTATGGACATTATTTTTTGTTAGGACATCCTCAATGCTTTAATTTATAAAATTACATTTATTAAACAGTTTAATTTGCAAAATAAATTAGTTAAATATCTATTAAATAATTGATAAGTAAAAATTAGTATTTCAAAAGTTATGCTAAACTACATATCGAATTGATATTCTGCAGATAAGAGCCAAAAATTTTAAAAACTATTGTTATTAGTGTGAAAATATGTATAATAGTTAAAATTGCAAAGTTTATAGATCTATACATTCAGACTTTCTCAAGATTTTAAATAATATTTACTTTGGCAATTTTCAATTCTAAAAATTATTACAGTTTATTATAAATTTTTTGTTAGGAGTCGATTGCCAAATATACAACATGCAGGTTTCCTTTCCTTTTTTTATTATATATATATTTTTTATTTTATGGCTTTCAAAGAAGAAATAATGTCAAAAAAAATGCTAAATTGAATCCGGCGAAAAACAAATACAAAAACAAAAAAGAGAATAAAAACCAGACACGGATTGCTCAGAGTTGAAATTCTGCCGCATATTTAGAGTTGCCTCTCATTACCGGATCACTTCCAATGATGCATCATAGTAAAACCAATAATTGATCAAAGTTCCAATGGGTGTCATCAAATGAAAGAATAGAACTATTTAACAAGGAAGAAAGAAGAGGATACATTTCTACTTTACATGATAGAAAATATGAAGAACCCAAATTCTCGATAACCGGTACACTAAAATTTCAGTGGAGAAGAATACAATTTGGCTCTTCCGGTCTCTACTCTCTCTATAGCACGGAACGTGCAGCCCTCCAACCAGCAGAATATGTATAGTCTTCTCTCTAACATCACAGCAGAAGTGGGCAAATCAATTGATGTAGGAAGAAGACATTAGTCCCTGCAAAACAAAAGCAAAAGGTTAAAATGTCTCTGGCATCGCAAACTTACAAGTGATGATGCAAAGGTTATGATGTCTTCTGAAATTATCTAGAAATTAAATGTTCATAATATAAATTCCAGCTTATGTTAAATTCAAAACATTCCAGCTTATGTTAAATTCAAAACTAAAATTGGCACATTCACCAAAATCAATGAAAATCTTCATTTATCCAATAGCAAAGGTTCTTCAGGTCACTGGTGTTGGCAGCAGTTTTTATCCATTAGAAAACTAAAAACCTTGCGGGTCATAATCAATAAACGGAATCAGTAGGACCCTTCCCCAATAGGCCAATTCCATATCTAGGCTTTTATTCCAAGAAAAAAAACTCCCAAATCAAATATCTACCATAAAATGGTGTACGAGGCACACTAAATCTCCTAATGTCCTGGTCAACCATGGAAGAGAATGGCAAATTTCAATCAGAAAGAAGTCTGCGTCATCTTAATGAGCAGACTAGCTTGAAACAAATATTCAGAAGATGATCTAGAATAGAGCAATCCCAATTCAGGATTGATGCAAAACCAAGCCTCACAAAGACATTAGAATTCTGCCCCAGTGCTTTATTTCAAGTATCAGATACATGACATGACTAATTTTGGGACATCCATTCAATCAAAGTAATGAAAGAGATATTTTGATGATGAAATGAGTTTGCTTGATTTTACATGATAGTAAGCATCTATACTACTAGTCAGCAATGAGAAGTAATACATAACCATGCATGCTAAAAACTGCACCATAGATGCACAGAAGCATAAGCTGAAAATGTAAAGCAAATTTTCCAAGAGAATAAATCCAAGTAACAATGCAGAGGAGATGTTGAATAATTGAAAGAGGAAATTAAGAGGGTTATCTCTGCCAAAGCAATGGAATTCACAACCCTTTACAGAAACTTCCATTCAAAATGCATATCGTTTCATCTTCTTGTGTTTCCAATTAACATATATACATAAAATAACACATAAATGCAGAATACGGATAATGTAAAATAAGGGGATTGTGACTCTACGACATGATTTTGAAAATTTGCAGCAGCACAACAACAGCAGCCAAGCCTTAGCCACAAACTAGTTGGGAATTTGCACAAATACACAAAATCTTTTGTTTCCTTATGGCTCTATGCTATAGAAAGTAACAATAGCAATAATACAAATACAAATAAGAAAGATATAAAGCTTACCTGCCAGTGTAGCACAACTGACAATTCATGGCACAGCCCACTTGACTTCAAAACACAAACTGTCGTCTTACCTCTATCACAAGGTATGACGACTTTTTCAATTACCAGTTCATCATCCAACCTAAATAAAATCTGCAAGCTCCTGTGAGTTTCAGAACCAATGAGAAGATAATGCAACTGCTAAAAGCAATATATCGAACCAGAATCAAGTGACTTCGAGACCAAAAATACAACAATAATGGTTTTAGCTACCTTCTTAGTTCCATCAGATGCAGTACAAACATCTTCCAAAGATATTACCTCAAATTCTGCGTGTTCACTCAACATTTTCCCAAAATCCTTATTCAAACCTGAATAAGGTTATCAAAGACAAAATTCATAAGGCTCAGCATGTCTCTCTTGTTGGAATAGAGATTCAATTTTTCACATAGACAGGGACATCAAAGGGAGATAAAATCATTTAGCTCACTGAAAAGGCTATAAAACCGGACAATAGATAGCATTTCAGAGACAAGGTGCTGGAAGAATACCTTCTAGCTCATCAACATAATGCGCTCAAATATTTTCCCCATAAAGACGCTTCCACAGCATCATAGCTTGACCAGGTCTGAATCCACAGGTCCTGAATCGCATGAGATTGAAAACCCATTTCTGGCATAGTGATCCCACAATTATTTACTTGGAAACTGAACATACAATTCCTCAATGTTTGGAATATTAGAAATTCTATTTTGAAATTTTCCTATCTTAGCTAGCTTGTACCACAGTTTAAAATTATATAATACTTTTTTGAAGTTTTAGCAATAGGAAGAAAGACTTTTTCTCTGCCATGTTGCACGTCTTGTCTGTCATGTGCATGCCTTTGAAACATTGAATTTTTGTCTTCCACTCACAAGCCTTGGATACCGTCCACTATGTGCACGCCTTGCTCTTTGTCGCCATGAAACCATCACTATCTTCCATCTTTTCCAGATCTTGTTTATTCCATCAACCCAACGAAACCATAACTCTTTCCTCTTGCCTGAATTGTTTCCGTTTCAGCCATGGAAGATAATTTTGCTCACCTTTCTATAGATGAGGAGGAGGAGACTGGACTTTCCCTTCCTACTCCTACTCATAATCCTCCAGTTGATCCGTATAATTTCTGTTTGGTTGGCATGTTTCTCACTTATAGCAGAGTCAACTTTGAGGCTATGAAACACACGCTAGCAGATCTCTGGCATCCTTTAGGCGGAATGGATATTCAGGAAGTGGGAGCCAAACGAAGTGGGAGCCAAACGTTTTCTCTTCCGTTTCTACAATGTGGTTGATATGGACAGGGCTATCTCTGGTAGTCCTTGGTTCTTTAATAAACATCTTCTTGTTTGGCAACAGATCCAAAGTGGTGAAAACCCGTTGGAGATCCCTTTATTGTTTGCTGACATTTGGGTCCAAATTAGAGATGTTCCGAATGGAATTGTGGGTGAAGGTACAGCTAGAGCGTTGGGTGATTCCCTTGCCGTAAACCTCTTCCGGGGACAATAGATCCAACAGTATTCCCATTAACAATAACTGAATATTTTACGGAAGTCATACACATCTTCATCCAATTTACCCACATAGCACAGAACCCCATTTTCTCAAGCATGGCACAAACATACGCCCAACAAACTTTGTCATAGGCTTTACTGATAGGCTTTTACTTGATGTCAATTTTTCCAGTGCACAATTTCCATCATCTATTAACTTGGCTTCTTAAGATGATGCATCAAATTTTCATTCAAAGGAGATTAAAATATTATCAGTGATAAGCCGTCCAGGTATAAAAGCAGACTGATAGCAAGAGATAATATTTGGTAACACAAATTTTAATCGGTTCGTTAGGATTTTAGACACAATCTTGTAGAGCACGTTACACAAAGAAATAGGTCTAAAATCAGTGACCAATTCTGGTCTATCTTTCTTAGGGATCAAAACAATTAAGGTATCATTTAGAGATTCCGGGAAAATACCTTGTTGCAGCCAATGGTTACAGGCAGTTACCAAATCCCCACCAATTAAAGGCCAAAATTTCTGATAGAAAGCAGGGTTCAAACCATCCGGGCCGGGTGCTTTATGAAGACCCATTTGAAAAACTGCTGCTTTTGCTTCGTCAAGTGAGATGGGAGCTGTCAACATGCAGTTATCTTCATCGCTTATTGTACTGCGGACCAATCTCAAAATGGGCTGAAAATGTGTCATTATGCGTAAAGAGATGAGTGAAATAGTCAACAAACAGCTGCTGCTTTTCACATTCCTTTTCAATCCACTGCCCCGCAGCGTTTTGTAGTTTATTAATGGAATTCCTGCGTGTTCTTGCTTTGATTTTAGCATGAAAATATTTACTGTTTCTATCACCATGTTGCAGCCAAAATTGTTTACTGAGTTGTCTTCGTCTAGCATCCTCCTGCGCTAGAATATTGCCCCACTCTCTAATTAAACCTGTGGTATCGGCAAAAGGATCAACCTCTCGAGCAAAATCGATAGCATGCTTCAAGCTGTTCTTTTTCTTCCAAAATCTCGAATTCCTGTCCATACCCCAACTTTGCAGTGCGGCTATACAAGATTTTTTACGGAGCATTATATCAGACCCCATTGCGGCTATACAAGATTTTTTACGGAGCATTATATCAGACCCCATGGAGGAGGACCAACTGTCTCGAACTACTCCAACCAGATCTTCGTCATGAAGCCAAGCATTATCAAAACGGAACCTCCTCTCCTTCCTACGAGGTACCGCACCCTCAACCGTCGAAACTAACAATGGGTCATGGTCCGATGTTGGTGAAACCAATGTAGTCGTAGAAGCTTCCTGGAATAAACTGGACCAATAATTATTAGCCATAGCTCGGTCAAGTTTCTCACGGGTGATAATTCGGCCAAATCTTTTTAATAACCAAGTAAATTTATAGCCTTTAGCAGGAATATCACATAAATCACTCTCCACTGCCGCCTCCTTAAAACCATTCAACAAGTATCTAGGATATTGGTTTCCACCAATCTTAATCTTCTCTGAATCAGCCAATAGATTATTAAAATGCCCAACACATAACCAAGGACCATTATGTCTACGGGATAAAGTTTTAATCAAGTCCCAAGAGTCCTGCCTTCTACATCTTTCTGGAAACCCATAAAAACCAGTTAGGCACCAAGAAATACCAGAAGAAAGAACCATAGCATCAATAAAATTATTTGAGTAACAAGATATGGAAACATCAACTTCACTCTTCCAAAGCAAACCAAGACCACCACTTCTCCCAATACAATCCACAGAAAAGCAAGAATCAAAACGCAACAAAGAACAAAAACAAAGAACAAAGATCAACAAGCTTCATTTTATGAACTAAAGTTTCACAAAGGAACAAAATAACAGGGCGGTAAATTGCAACAAAGTCCCATAGAGCTTGTACTGTCCGAGGGTTGCCAAGTCCTCGACAGTTCCACGAGAGGATCTTCATTTCTTCCGGCCATCCTGCTTCACAGGATCAACCGATGTATGTTTCTCCGACTGATTGATGGTCGAAATGGTACCAGATGCAGAATCATTTTGAGTAGAAACTGCAGCGGTGCTATGAGTGGTAGGAAGAATTCGTTGTCTTTTTTTATTCTCATCACTGATACATAAAGCCACATCTTCAACTCCGCCCTCTTCAGAAAAATCAGCTTCCATTGTATCGGAGTTATTGCCTTCGTCAAGATTTGAAGATGTACCATAAAAGGAGTTACGAAAATTTCTCACCACAGTGTTATCTCCTTCCAAAACGGATGTTGAATTACTAAGTGTCCAATCTGCTGAAATGTCAGCGACACCAAAGGATCGGATCCAGGAACTCTGTCGTCTCGCTCCACGCCGCACCGGAGCACGAAGACTATCATCCCAGGCCAAAATCAGTTCCTCTCTTGGTTTAGATAACCGAAGATCACAGAATGACTCTGTATGACCAATGCGGCCACAGAGAAAGCAAATCGTGAAAACCTTCTCATATAGAAAGGCAAATGCGTGAAATCGTGAAAACCTTCTCATATTGAAAACGAACATAATAAACCTCTCCAGACAGAGCAATTAATTTCTTTTTACGTTTGAGAGGCTTCCTAATATCCAGTTTTACTTTGATGCGAAGGAATTCAAAAACAGCCTCCATAGATGTCTTAAAATCACCCAACGCTCTAGCTGTACCTTCACCCACAATTCCATTCAGAACATCTCTAATTTGGACCCAAATGTCAGCAAACAATAAAGGGATCTCCAACGGGTTTTCACCACTTTGGAAGGGAAAGTCCAGTCTCCTCCTCCTCATCTACAGAAAGGTGAGCAAAATTATCTTCCATGGCTGAAACAATTATCTTCCATGGCTGAAACGGAAACAATTCAGGCAAGAGGAAAGAGTTATGGTTTCGTTGGGTTGATGGAATAAACAAGATCTGGAAAAGATGGAAGATAGTGATGGTTTCATGGCGACAAAGAGCAAGGCGTGCACATAGTGGACGGTATCCAAGGCTTGTGAGTGGAAGACAAAAATTCAATGTTTCAAAGGCATGCACATGACAGACAAGACGTGCACGTGACTCTACAACATGATTTTGAAAATTTGCAGCAGCACAACAGCAGCAGCCAAGCCTTAGCCACAAATTAGTTGGGAATTTGCACGAATACACAAACTTTTTTTTTTTTTTTTATGGCTCTATGCTAGCTATAGATAATACTAAACTGAATTCAAGATGTCCTTTAGTATCCTAAAGGGTTAAAATCAATCTTAAATGACAAGAAGAAAACGCCAATTCATTTTGTTTGGAATGCAAAAATATCATGCAATTTTGTTTGGAATGCAAAAATATCATGCAGTTACCCCAACAGTAGCACAAGATATTTCATATGGCCAAACATATTATCAAATATCAAATAAAACTGAGAAAGGAAAATGTTTATCTAACCTGTCATTTACTCCTGCAAGCATCACATACTCGAACAAAGCTTTGTAATTCTTTCTGGACTGGAGTCCCTTCCGAAGGGTGTCAAGAAGCGAGCCTAAATTGTATTTCCGGTTAATTTGCATGATCCAGTTTCTTACCTGCATGGTTTATTAGTTAAAGAGAAAGTCAACAACCTGGATGTGTTTCTCAAGTGAATAAACATATGGATATAAATGAAAATGCACCTCATCAGCTGTCGCATTCAGACTAACAGCCAAAGCACAATTGAATTCATGGAGGAAACGTTTCAACTGGGGGACAAGCCCGCTTGTAGAAATAGTGACCCTGCGAGGACTAAAATGAAGACCCTGCTCATGCACCATAATATCGGCAGCTTTTATGACATTTTCAATGTTCTGAAGTGGTTCTCCCATTCCCTGCAAATACATATTTCAAAGCGAATTATTAGAAATTATTGGGCTAACTAAAAATCTATTTTCTCTCACTCAAACCAAGATCTTTGAAAAATAGAAAAATAGGGATTAATACTTCATGGATGTAATAACTCTCCTTCAAATATCTAATAGAGCTAGACTAGAGACACTTCACCAAACAAAAATCCATTGCAATAGCTGCAGCAAAAGGAATACAGAAACATACAAGGGTTAGAAGGGTGTAAATGTCCATAGGTAGTGGATATGCAATCCAGGAATAGTATTGTTGAATGGTTGGACAAGTATTCCAATCAATGAATAAGGAAACACATGGACTTAATTCCTCAAATTATGTGTTTTTCTATGTGACCAGGGAATGCATAACGACGACAAAACGAATGAAATTTTTCTATTTATGTTCTCGATAGATAGTGAAAATAACATTGAATTACGATAGATAGTGAAAATAACATTGAATTATTAGATGCCTTAGTACTGGACTGAGCAAAGTCACTAACTGAGCCAAATCTGAACTGATTGGAAAAACTTCTGTGAATAGAAAATTTTCTAGATCACAGACTTACCATAAATACAACGTTTGTGATGGAACCAACTTCGCTCGTCACATGACGTTGTGCAAATACAACCTGGTCTACAATCTCTGCAGTAGTCAGATGTCTCTTCAAACCCATCCTAAAAATTGGATTATGCATCAAGAAGATGTACCTTGTAGAGAGTAAGAATAGCAATAATAGAGATACAAATAAGAAAGATATAAAGCTTACCTGCCAGTGTAGGAGAACTGACAATTCATGGCACAGCCCACTTGACTTGAAACACAAACTGTCCTCCTACCTCTATCACAAGGTATGACGACTGTTTCAATTACCAGTTCATCATCCAACCTAAATAAAATCTGCAAGCTCCTGTGAGTTTCAAAACCAATGAGAAGATAATGCAACTGCTTAAAGCAATATATTGAACCAGAATAAAGTGACTTCGAGACCAAAAATACAACAGATAATGGTTTTAGCTACCTTCTTAGTTCCATCAGATGCAGTACGAACATCTTCCAAAGATATTGCCTTAAATTCTGCGTCTTCACTCAACATTTTCCTAAAATCCTTATTCAAACCTGAATAAGGTTATCAAAGACAAATTCATAAGGCTCAGCATGTCTCTCTTGTTGGAAGAGAGATTCAATTTTGCGCATGTCTCTCATTGTGGAAAGAGAGATTCAATTTTGCACATAGATAGGGACATCAAAGGAGATAAAATCATTGTAGCTCACTGAAAAGGCTATAAAAAACCGGACAAATAGATAGCATTTCAGAGAGACAAGGTGGTGTAAGAATACCTTCTAGTTCATCAACATAATGCGCCCAAATATTTTCCCCATAAAGACGCTACCACAGCATCATAGCTTGACCTCGTCTGGATCCATGAGATTGAACCCATTTCTGGCACAGTGGATTCCCACAATTATTACTTGGAAAACTTGAACATAAAATTATACATAAATTCTCAAGTTTGGAATATCAGAATCCATTTTGAATTTCTAGCCTAGCTAGCTTGTACCACAGTTTAAAATTATATACTTTTTTGAGTTTAGCATAGGAAGAAAAAGAAAGTAGAAAAACACACTTCAAGCTCAGTGTAATTCATTCCCTTAAGAAGCACCTTTGAACCATTGGTTAGAATAGCATTCATGTCTCTACTTTCTACACAAATAAACAACCACAAAACAAATAAATAAATAAATAAAATTGCAGCTCGAAAAACAACATATGTTACTAGGAAACGATTTATCTGCTTACCCATATAAACAGGAAGCAGTGACGATGAACAAGCGGCGGTCGAAACGGAACAGCGGCGGTCGAAACGGAACGACGCGCGGAAGAGAAAAGAGAAGTGGGGTGGAGATGGAGATTGGGCGGTGGCGGTGATTAAGAGAGTTGTTTTAGAGAGGAAAGAGAGAGATGAGATCGATTAGGGTAAGGAATTGAGAGCGAAGCAGATGAGGAGACCATGGAAGGGTGATTTACAAGAACCACTGACCGCACGCGCCTCATCCACATACAATAAAAATTCCTAAGTTATTGGCAGATTCTTTCTTCACCATTATTATTATCATATAATAAATTGCTGAACCCAGATTCCATACATTAATTAATTAATTAAAATTAATAATAAATCGTTTTCTTCGATGACGCATATATAATCGACCATTTTGTCTGTATATTATTTCTACGTTTATAGCTATCATCGACTATGCAATTCCAATTTTCCTTCTAAAACAAGAACACTCGCTCCCGCTGTTTCTCTCAGAAAAACTAAAAATGGGAGGTGGCGAAGCAGCTGGGGCAGACACCGGAATCCGGCGAAGAGGCTGTTCTTGTACGAAGAACGATTTTCTTCCAGAAGAATCATTTCAAAGCTGGGGAAATTACATGAAAGCTCTTAGCGAAACTCCAATGCGATTCAAGGATCGGTTATTGACCCGATCCATGGACTCCACGGAGCTCCATGAAATAAAGGCTCGAAGCGAGCATGATATGAAGAAGGACCTTACTTGGTGGGACCTAATCTGGTTTGGTATAGGGGTTGTAATCGGGTCAGGTATATTTGTTCTAACCGGACTTGAGGCACGTGACCACGCCGGACCTGCTATTCTGTTATCTTATGTGATTTCGGGTGTTTCTGCTATGCTCATGTGAATTTCGGGTGTTTCTGCTATGCTCTCTGTGTAGTAATTGCAGAAGCTTAAAAGAGCTTAAAACCAACAAATGAAAAAATAAAGGGAAAAAGAAAAAGGAAGGTTCTCACCAATTTCAAGCGATTAATCAAAATTTGAAGAGATCAAGAGAGAGGTAGTTAGTACTTAGTAGGAAGGGGAGGCCTGGTCGGGTCGGGTCGGGTCGTGGAGAGATAGTAACACTGAAATTAATTGAATAAATGAAATTAAAGGACTAACACTGAAATTAAATAAAAATTCTATTTCTTTTTCATTTTATGGTAACTACACAAAACAGCAATTTTCAATCGATATATAGCTAGAGAGCTACATTATTTCAAAAAAAAATTAAACAGGCGAATTATCGTCCTTTTTTGTAATATAAGGTCTTATAATTTCAATTTTCTCGTTGAATTTCTCTCGTAGTTTGCTAATTAAACGGTAGTTCTCTATCTCTTCCCTTGAATTATATATTTCTTTAGTTAACAAGGAGGCCCATAAGATTAAAATGATCCAACCATAAATTGAGAAAACCATAAATACAAGTGCAACTACGGCCAATCCAAGAGCAAATAAGCCAACTTTGCTAGTAATTGAATTGAAGGAGTTCCAAGCTTGAAAGATAGTTCCAAACCCATATGTGAGTAGAGCAACAAGAAAGATTGGCAATATAATGTATGTGTCTGTATCATCCAAAGACTTGAGTTGAATGAGGCCAATTAAACTTGCTATGATCAAGGTGAAAACATTATGTACTGCATTTAAATTTTCCCTGAAAAGAAAAATGAAATAAATAAAAAATAATAAACCATTAGAAAGCTTTTTAGCACATTTCCAATTTTAACTATATATTATTGTAATTGAATAAGGATAACAAAGTTGGCATAAATTTATAGCTCTACAATATTGGAATAATGGATAAAAATTTAGAAGTAGTTTTTGAAATATACTTCTATGAATTGAATAAAGATTATGCTTTGAAATGACGGAGAAGTAAACAAGTGTGCTCTGTCTAGGCCATGAAAGAAACACCGGAAATAACTTGAAGATACAAATAAAAAGTTTGCAAACCCAATATTTAATGATATTACCTTTCGATTGGCATTTTCTGTTAAATTCTTTCCGTGCTTGTTTAAATTCTTCGTGCTTGTTAGAGAACGCAGTAATGGTAGAGAACGCAAGAATCGGAAGATAGGAGAGAAGCTGCAATGACTCAGCTTGCAAGAATCGGAAGATAGGAGAGAAGCTGCAATGACTCACTAGAGAATCGGGCTTGCAAGAATCGGCCGATAGGAGATAGGAGAGAGAGAAGCTGCAATGACTCACTAGAGAAGCTGCAATGACTCAGCTTGCAAGAATCGGGCTTGCAAGAATCGGCCGATAGGAGATAGGAGAGAGAGAAGCTGCAATGACTCACTAGAGATTCGGGCTTGCAAGAATCGGCCGATAGGAGAGATTCAAGCTATAGGAGAGATTCAAGCTGAATCGGGGAGAAAGGAGCTTTTATAGTAGCAGTTTCGGTAGCCCCCTGCTCTCTCTTCCCACCCCCTATCAAAATTCATATTTTGCCCTTACATCAACCCCCTATCAAAATTAATGTCAAAAAAAAAAAAAAAAAAAAAAAAAAAAACCCCCTATCAAAATTCATATATTTTGCCCTCATATATCCTCTCACGCTACCTCTGTTCCGCATTGAAGGGCATTGAAGGGTATATTGGGTATATTGCGAAAGTTGCATTGATCATATTTTGCTACCTCTGTTCCGCGTCGGCATTGAAGGGTTTATTGCGGAAGTTGCATTGAGGGATTAGTTTGCATATGGCCACAACTAAGATTATAAGTTAACATAACTTTATATGGGCCGTTGATATGCTTCTTCCATTCAATTTTTCCATTTTGGTCTGATGGGTCGTTGATTCTTCGATTCAATTTTTCCAAGCCCAACCTCATTACCTTGTTGTCAGAATCTACAGATACTAATAGGTTA